TATTTAACTTGTCAGGGGTTTCCAAAAGATAAGTATTGGTCTGCATCTCAATAATCTAATCATCATTTTTCTCAGTGACATTATCAAGACTCTATGTCAGTAAATGGTTTTTCTTTTCGTTGAAATTTTAATCAGCATCTTACCTGTCAGAACAGTGCTGAGTTATCTCTTCCCAATCAAATCTCCAACTTAACAAGTATTAAAAGTATGAAACTACAATTACTTGTCCAATTACCAAACCCATCCATAAGCCCGGCACTCCCAGTTTAAAATAAATTCCTAATAGAGTTCCTAGGGGACAAGCAAAGACATAAAATGCAACAAGTCCTCCAGCTACTGCATGATTGAACTTAGTCAACGCTCTAATTGATCCTAATTACATTGCATAAATAAAGTCAATACTCGCAGAGATAGCAGATACTTTGAATGCTTAAGAGGTGATATCTACTACTTCAGGATTCGTTGAAAAGGCTCCAGCTAATTAATTTCTTAGTACAAATAGTAGACCTCCCATGAATAGAGCAAGAAAGCAAGAATATTTAATGATAAAACTAGAATTTGCCTTAGCAAGTTTACTTTTCTTTTATCCGATAAGCTGTCCAACAATAGTAGTTGAAGCCATACTAAAACCAGTTGGGATCATATAGAACATTAAATTTGAGGTAAGTGTTATGACCTAAGCAGCATTAGCAGCAACTGATATGTAGCCAGAAATAATGCATAGTACTTCAAATCCTAAATATTCCATGCAAAATATAAGAGCTGATGGTATTGCCAATTTAGAATATTAGGCAAAGTTTTAAAATGTTTCCATTCCTCCAAAGAACCATGATTCTTTGTATTATGAATCCAGTTTAATCAGAACATGAATAATAACAAAATTAGCAATGAATTAGAGGCTTGTGGAGTAGCTAGTATAATAGTAGGGTAGTCCCATCTTTACGATTAAAATTTGACAAAGAAAGATATGAAGTATTCCAGAAATGACCTAAATATAGGTACTTAATAGAGGTTTTCCATAGCCAATTAAAAACTATCTCGCAACATCAAAGTACATAAATGCTACTAATCCTGGAATCTATCTTACTGTATATATCTGAGCACATTTTGCAGTTTAGTAATCAATACCTATAGCAATGATTGCATCCTCAATAAAGAAGGAAAAGAATATTGCTATTGGGAGCCATATTGTAATTACTAATCTTCCCTTATTAACATAAATTCCACTTTGCCTATAATTACCAGCTCCTATAGATTAGGAAATTAAAGATTATAGTACTCCATTTAGTCCAAAACATACTGCTATATATACAACATTGATAAATGTCGTACCCAATCCTACTCCAGCTACTACTGAAGGATCAGGATCATAACCTGAGTAGTATATATTTACAGTTTAGCTCAAGAGTGACATGAAAGCTTGAAATATTACCGGAACACCGAGTTTAATCATTGATTTTACTACTTATACTTTCTAAATAGTCTAGACATCCTCTTTCATCGTCTAAGGTATTTGTTTTTCAGAAGTAGCTTTGCTGCTAATTTATTATGACATCTAATATAAGTAAATTAAAAAGGCACAAACATAGCTAAATATTAACTATAACTTTCTTTATTAATGCTATCAATTCTTCAAATATTTATTTTATTGTACGGGGTTTTGGGGTTTTGGGG